TTTGTGGTGTTTGAATGAACTAGTAACTTCTTGTTGTTGTGAAATGCTTGATTTCGAATTCTAAATACAATACATTCGTTTGTGCAGCTCTTTAATTCTTGATTCATATACTTCTAAGCATCACAGTGGCGTCGCGATGGAACTTGTAATGGAACAGCTAGATATTCATTCTACTATTGAAGCTTTTGAAGATTATTTGGAAAGGTTTGAAATCTGGAGTATGACCAGGAAAGATGTCAAAGATGATCAAATTGTGGCTCATTTCCTAACATTCATGGGAAAAGAAGCGTACAGCTTATTAAAAACTTTGGCATATCCAGAGAAACCTATTTCACTTCCCTATGCAATGCTAAAGGAGTTATTATTGAATCATGTAAAGTGCCCTGGTTTTGAATGCCGTGAAAGAGCGAAATCTCATAAGATGATTCGTCAAAATGACCGAAATGTTAAGGGATTCATTCTTGAATTGCAGAAACAGGCTGTCAAATGTAATTTTGGTGATCAACTTCATGTGCAGCTGAGAGACCGATTAATTGCAGGAATTAACATACCTAGTTTGGAAAGAGAGCTGTTAAGAATGTCAAACTGTTCCTTTCAAGATGTTAGAACTGCGTGCATTAACTACGAGGCGTTGAATGAACTTGATATTCAGTCGACGAAGATTTCCAATACTTTGATTAGTTGTCATGATGAAAAACAATCTCAGGGTCAATCAAAATTGTGTTCGTTTAACAGAGGTTCCGATTCTCGTGTAAAAATGAACGGTGTCTCAAAAAAGAATTACAAAGGAAATCAAAAAGGTGAGACCAAGTTTGGCAAATGTTTATCATGTGGAAAACTTCATTCTCGTTATTATTGTACATTTCGTACTGCTAAATGTTTTAGATGTGGTAAGATAGGACACATTCAAGCAGTATGCAAAGCTACTGTTCATTTTGCCTCAAGTAGTACTAAAGCTTGTAATTTAGATTCCAATAATTCAGCTGATTCTAATGATCATTTATCTTTAACTACCATTTCGAAAGGTAATGCTCATATTCAAAAGCGACTATATACATCACTTGGTTCATTTCATGACTTTATTGTGGACACAGGCAGTATAGAGTCCATTATTTCATTCAAGAATTTGAAATTGTTAGGTCCGAACGTTGTGATACGACCCACTGATGTATCAATTTTGGGGATTACTGGACACAGACTGCCTATACGAGGATGTTGTGAATTGCTAATAAGAGATGATGATTCCTCATACATACCATGTGAATTCTTAGTTAGCGAAACGGGACTGTCAATACTCGGTTTAAAGAATTTGAAAAGGCTTAAAGTGGAGTTGTCTCTCCTAGTTTCTAAAGAAAATTCTGATGCTTTACTTAAAGATTTGATAGCCACGTGTGCTAAGTGCAGTGGAAGTATGAAAATGGTTCAGCACGGGAGTGCCAAGCAAATTCAACATGTTGACTACATTTCTCGACAGTCATTAAATGCAGATATTTGTCGTACAGCAAAGAATTGCGAAAAGTGTCATAAGCTGAAAAATCAGCATTCGAGGTTGAGTGATTCTATTGCCGCCTCAACATTTAATGAGCTGGAGAGGGGAGTAGATACCTTTCTACTGCAATATAGAAATGCCAGACATTCGGTGACGAAAGAGACTCCGTCAAAACTATTAAAAGGAAGAATTCTTCGGTCGAATATGAGACGTTTGGAGTCTGCAGAAGTTACATATTATCGTGGCAATGAACTTCGACCATCCACGGGGATCGTTCAGAGGAATGTCGGGAAATCTATGGTGCGACTTCTAGATATCAATGACTTAAGTACACACAATCGACATGTTGATCAAATACAATTCCAAGAGCCAGGTGAGTCTGTTCCAACTTCGGTTGTTAATTCTAATACTAATGAGAGCATTCTAGATAATACAGAGCCTTTATCCAATACACTGTCGGACAGACACACGATGAATTTGAGAAGAAGATGTACAACTGATTACAGACATATACATTCCAATTTAAGCGGTGGCGGATGTGGTGTTTGAATGAACTAGTAACTTCTTGTTGTTGTGAAATGCTTGATTTCGAATTCTAAATACAATACATTCGTTTGTGCAGATCTTTAATTCTTGATTTATATACTTCTAAGCATCACAGGACTTCAAGTGTGGGCTTGTCTTGTGGCTCAGTTGGTTGATTTCTCCAATGTGTGTCCTATCCACTTCCCGCGCTTCTTGTCCTACACACGAATCTGGTTTGTTCTATCACACAGTAGGTTGTCGCTGATGGTGTCTGACCAACATATCTTCAGTATCTTGCTTAGACCACTGTTAATCAATACTTTTATCTTCCTGGTGATCACCCTTGTGGCTCTTCAAGTTCCAGCCACACACAGTAGATTTGTTTTCACGTCTGTATTGAAAATTCTTATTTTAGTGTTGTTTGACAGTTGTTTTGAGTTCCAGATGTTGTTCAGTTATAAAAATACAGCCCTCGCTTTGCCAATTCGCGCCTTCTTATCTGCAGCGAATTCATCTTGCTCATCAATGAGACTGTCCACATATGTAAAGGTTTTTACATCTTCCGATGCTACTCCGTCAAGTGTGATTTGGTCGGTCCATGTTGTGCTGTATCGGAGGATCTTGCTTTTTCCCTTTGTGTATGTCGAAACCTATTGCTGCAGAGGCTGATGCTATACTGATCGTCTTCTCCTGTATTTGTTATTTTATCTGGGATGGAAGAGCCAGATCATCTGTGAAGTCTAGATCCAGCTGTTCACTTTCTTTTGGTCAAGCAGAACAATAAATTCAACATCTGCTAGTTTCGGCTATCATATCCAACTACACATAATTTAATTATTATGCCTTTGAAACTGCTTATTTTACATCTCAAATAATCCATAGCTTATGACATTTCTTTTATTCTTGAAACTGGCATTCATAACATCAAGTTCATCAGACAAGTACCTCGCATCATTGTTGAGCATTAAGATTTTCGGAACTCACTTCATTTTACGATCATAAACAGGTAATCTCAACATACACATCATACAAATGGATAAACATCTTCACTTTAGACAAATGAATCCTGTCAATAAATACATCAGTTATTAATATTAAAATTGATTTCTGTTGAATAGCATCTGTTTTGTTTATTTGTTCTAAAATTTACGCACACACACACACACACACACACAACACTTTCATTTATCTAGTAATCTCAAACATTGAAAGGATAACTGTGATTAACTCTTCATATATACATCTTCCCAGATTATATTTACTCGGCAGGTTTATCTGTGTGTGTGTGTGTGGTTGTGTACTTGTGTAGTGAGGTGATGACAAAGATAACGATTATCAGATAAAATTAAACGCTACAAACGCTATTCTTAGTAAATAAATGAATTATTAATGGCAGCCGATATTTGATTTTTTTTTAATCTTTTTTCTTGTTATCGTTATTCCTTCTTTTTTCATTTACATTATCTGTGTGTAAAATGAATACATTTCTTATACTCTGTTGATATTATCAACAAAATAGTTCATTTAATAATTATTGTGAATGATACTACTAATAATTTACTACTAATATCATAATACTGATATTATATTATCACAGGTACGACAAAATGATTGGAAAATTGTATAAGAATTAAAATCTAACTTTGAGATGGTGGAGAAATCTTGTAGCTCAGGTGGATGGTTGTGGTGGTGTTTCGTTCTCTGAGCTGCACATTTTGGTTGTGGAGCTTTCATTGTTCTTCTGAACAACATCATCAGCACAAACTTCAGATAGAAGTGAAGCATTCGAAGTTGCAAACAACGACAGGTTTAAGGTCAACAGCAACCAATCAAGATCGAGGTTAGCAGAACAAGATACGGGTGAAAAGGTGCAGAAATTAGAATACTTCACTTCTTCTTTGTGAAGTTTGTGCTGATGTTGTTCAGAAGAACAATGAAAGCTCCACAACCGAAAGATTCAGCTCAGTGAACGAAACAACACCATAAAATCTAATTGTAATATCAAGGAGAAGTAAAAAACAATCGTTTCTAAATACTATTTATTGCTTAGTACTAAACTAGATGGAGAGTGTTGAGGATGTTAGATCCCCAAAACTCGCTTGATAAATGCCTTATTTTGGTTTTCACGTTTGCCAGCATGGGCTGATCAGTTGACATTGAGATTTCAATTCCCACCAGGAAAATCCATGGCTGTGATTGGCTGCTGTGTATTTTAGTGTGCTATT